CACGTTTCTCATCTGAACGTGAACATACTAGACCTCGTAGTACTCCTGGCCGTCCACTGCGACCGGTTGAGGAAATGAGGGCGGGGTATGGGGACAATGAACAGTCCCGCCATTATCCTAGTACTCCTGGGCAACCAGTTGAGGAACGGAGGGCTAACGAGGGTAACCTCGTTCGGGCCCAGTCAGAGCAATCGCGTGTGTCTCCCAGTACTCCTGGGCAACCAGTTGAGGAACGGATGGCTAACGAGGGTAATCTCGTTCGGACCCAGCCCGGGCCCAGCCAGGGCAGTCGCGTGTGCTTCCTAGTACTCCTGGGCAACCAGCTGAGGAACGGAGGGCTAACGAGGGTAACCTCGTTCGGACCCAGTCAGAGCAATCGTTTTGTGTGTAACAGGAGGTCGATTTTCGGATACATTTTGTAATGGCAGGCCAATTGGAAAGATAGTGTATTTTAAACAAATAATAGCATGCATACATATAGAACCATACATAATTAGTACATTACATACATATAATAGCATACAAACATACATATAATAGCATACAAACATACAATACAACAGCACTCATGCAAACATATAACAGCATACATGCATTTAATAACATCATAGATATATATAATAGCATACATACATACATATAACAGTTAACATGCATACATATAACAGCATAAATGGATACATATAATAGCATACATACATATAATATCAAACATATATATAATAGCCTAACTACACACATACTTTGCATAGCATAGCAAATCATAGTATGCATACATATCATAGCAAAGCATGCAAACATACATGACATAGCTTAGCATTGTATACATGGCATACCTACATATATAACAGACCATATTATAGAATAGAATAGCAAAGCATACATGGCATACATAATAAATGATTATAATATATTAAGCATTTTTTCTAGTTTAGATAAGAATTTGCTCATTTTGCTGAGCAAGGAAGAATTACAAATAGAAAACATACCTTTCACTTTGACAATAGTTGGATTGATATAATAATAATTGGGAATGTATTTATGACGTATTTCAGTTACAGCGTCATTCTGACATTGGTACAAATAATGAAATTCGTCACCTTCATCTGTTGTACATAAGGGACACATTCTTTCCTGTCTTGGGACGCCTGTCCATCGGCCTATTTCTATTGGCAGCCTTAAATTGGACATTCAAAATACATAAAATGGGAAGAGCTTCAGCAAATAAGGTTTAAATTTCCATTCGTGGGTTTATGGATAAATTGATCGATTAAATGCCTTCGGGTACTCATGAAGAACTTGATAGATGTGTAGCCAAATTTTGTGGTGATATAAATGACGTAGTTTTACCTAACTGTGACGTTAAAATGGCTAAAGGTACATCACACTATCCCCGTCAACATAAGGTGGAGAAAGAGGACAAGCCGTGGTTTACTGAAGAATGTAAAATGAGATATAATGAGTACAAAAATGCATTGTTTAATTTTAATGTTTCTAAATCCTTTGAGAATCATGCTGTTTTTATAAGTAAAAAACGGGCTTACAAAAAGTTGGAATATAGACTCAAACGACAATATAAACGACAAGAAGGTGATATGGTTGAATTTCTTAGAAAGAACAATCCGAAGAAGTTTTATAAATATTTTTCAAAGCGTAAAAACAGTGTATCCCAACCATAAATTAATATCAATGAATTTTTAGAATATTTTAAAAGTGTTAGTAGTAACACTGGTGATATTGATGCTACTACTCAGGACTTTTATGATGACACAGATTTAACAATATTTGAAGAATTAGATAAACCATTTACAAAAGATGAGGTACATATCGCAATTAGAAATTTGAAAAGAGATAAAAGCTGTAGTGAAGATTTAACTTTGAATGAACTTTTCGTAGATTGTGAAGACATTTTAACCCCTTGTATAAAACGAAGCTTTTCAGACGAATATTTGAATCGGGTCTTTTTCCGGATGTGTGGTCACGTGACTGCATTGTTCCAGTACACAAAAAAGATGATATTAATGATGTTGGTAATTATAGAGGAATTACTCTTGTCAGTTGTATGGGCAAACTTTTTACTGCAGTTTTAAACAGAAGGCTTAAACAGTGGGACAAAGAAAATTCAATTATTACTGATGCCCAGTTTGGTTTTAAAGTTGTTCACTCAACTTTAGATGCTATATTCGTACTTCAGTCATTAATTAATAGATCTCTAAGTAAAAAGAAAAGGTTGTATTGTTGCTTTGTAGATTACAAAAAGGCTTTTGACCTTAATGATAGAGGGAAATTGTGATGTAAACTCATTAAACATGGAGTTCAAGGTAAATTGTTAAAGATTATACAATCCCTGTATGAAAATGTTAAATCCTGTGTTAAATACAACTGTCGTATATCAGAATATTTTTCGAGCTGAATCGGCCTCTTCCAAGGAGCAGTTCTCTCACCAATTGTATACAGTTTATTTGCCAATGACTGTGAAATGAATTTTATCAGAGAAAATTGTCAACCAGTTGAAATTGGTATGATATCCTTATTTTTTTACTTATGAACGCAGACGACACAGTTCTTATTGCAGAAACACCGCATGCTCTACAATCTATGTTAGATGCTTTATGTTTGTAAATACAGATAAAACTAAAATTGTCGTTTTCAGGAAAAGTGGTATTGTAAAACAGGACGAAAGGTGGTTTTATGACAATAACGAAGTAGAAGTTGTTAATGAATTCAATTATCTAGGTATGTTTTTTTAATTTTAACGGAAAATTCAATAAAACTCAGCAACATGCAACAGAAATTACGAATTAGGTAGACTTCCAATGTATATTGTTCGGAAAATGAAAATATTGAAATACTGGGTTGAAGTGAAAGAAACAGACAATAATTGTATAATGAAAGCATGTTATGGACAGAGAACATTAGATAAGGATGATTGGATTATAAATATACAATCAGAATTGAATAAGTTAGGATTAGGGTATTTATGGAATAACTGCTATGAAAGTAAGATTGTGTACAAGTTAATGGAGCACAAATTTTAAGATATACATGTACAAGAAATTTTGTCTAAAATACAGATTCCCCAAAAGGAACATTGTATCAGCATTCAATAGATAATTTTGATCTGCAATACTACCTGAAAAAACCCTATTGATCAGTTGTATAAGAACAGTATTTCATGTATTCGCTTAAGCTCTCACAAGCTCAATATTGAAAGTGGAAGATACACTAATTTAGCTAGGTCCAATATTAATGGAGTTTGTACATTATGTGATACTCATGATATTGAGGATGAGTTTCACTGCATCCTTAAGCGTCCTCCTATTTATGCAGATTTACGGCCGGGTGAGATACCTGAAGCCATATTATTTTAGTCGTCCAAGTGTATTTAAACTTGTTCAATTGCTCAGTGCTAATAATGTAAAAGATTTGTGTAATCTTGGTAAATATATTTTAAGATTTGCTTTTAAGAAGCGCTCTCAGTCATTATAGTATTGCCACATTCTTGTGTGTGTGTGTGTGTGTGTGAGTATGTGTGTATGCTACGATTACATACAATTATCACTCTCCTGTACATCAATAATCTGTTTAACCTGTTAAAATATTGTGTTTTGTATCTTTTAAGTCGTAAGACTTACAGAATATTGGAATGCAAAATTGCGACAATTCCGTACGGCCTTCAGCATTGTGTCCATATCAGCTATAACGATGCGAACGGACAAATATATATCTACTATCAAAGAAACTGTAGCCAGCACCATGGTGTTTGATAAGTAATGTAACAAGAGATTGCCCGGGCCAAACTATGTTTTAAAGCTAACCTATTAACTTGTTTCTCCATTTTCATTTGTGTTGTTTGGTTTCATATTAAAGAGCAAATACGATTAAGAACAAGAGACACAGAGGGCCTGTAACGCTCACCTGGATATCAAAGTAATCATGGCAAAATAATCTCCAAATAAGACCCAAAGGAATGGGCCAGACCCTAATCCTTATATCCTATCTGTATTCGACTTTTCATGCCCAGCAATTTTATGTATGGTTATGGGTTTGGGATCTCAACTGTTTCCAAGGTGTCACTCAGAAACTTTATATGTCCTTAGGGTTGTGGCCAGACCCCAGGATCAATTATAATATCATGACTGCATTAGTCTCTTTATGTCCAGCATTTGTTTATGCAGTTTTGAGGTGGGGATCTCCACTGTTTCAAAGTTATGACCTAGAGGTTAAGTCTGCGAGGGTGGGACAGACCCCGGAGTCAATTCTAATATTATGACTGCATTCATCTCTTTATGCCCAACAATTGTATAGATAGTTTTGGGGTGAGGATCTCAACTGTTTCAAAGTTATGACACAGAGGTTAAGTCTGCGAGGGTGGGACAGACCACGGGGTCAATTCTAAAACAGACTGCATTCGTCTCTTTATGCACAGCATTTGTATATACAGTTTTGGGGTGGGGACTTCAACCGTTCCAAAGTTATGACCCAATGACTATGTCTCCAAGTGTGGGGCCAGACCCCTGGACAATCCTTGTAACATATGTACATTCTTTCTTCATTCTCAGCAATTGTATATATGGTTATAGGGTGGGGATCTCAACCATTTCCAAGCAATAAACTATTTTTGGCCCCACCCTTTAGCCAAGGGGGTCAGGGCCACAACTTGTACAATTTGAATCACTGCCTCCCATGAATGCTTCCAACCAAATATGATTGATATCCAGTGCATAGTTCTAAAGAAGAAGTTATTTATAGTAATATAGTCAAATTACCCTTTTTGGCCCCGCCTCTAAGCCCCATTGGGGTTCAGCCCAACCATTTGTACAATATTTAATCCCCACCACCTAAGGATGCTTCCAGCTAAATTAAGTTAAATTCCAATCAGTGGTTAAGAAGAAGTCGTTTGAAGAAATTGTTGACGAACGCACGACGGACGGACGCCACGTTGTGGCATAAGCTATGAACTTAACAAACTCCGCAAAAAAACAAAACAAAATCTTGCAGTATTTTATATCTTTTATTTAACACATTATAATTTTTATCAACAATCACATTTTCTTTGTATTGAGTATCACAAAATAGTCTACAATACAGACAGCTTGTGCCAGCTTCTCAATCACATCCGGGTATCTCCTGGAGCCGAATGGTTGACACTTTTGAGACAAATACCACATACTTATATATTCCCTATTCTGCATGTAACGACCCTTACTTCAGGTTTTAACAAGACAATAAAGTAGTTAATAATCTCTGTTACGAACAATGAAACTCGATCACTGGTAAGTGCACATTCACAAGCAACGGACCTTTCATATAAAACGGAAAAAACACACACTTTCGGTATCAGAAGCACAGGTTCCCCCTGGGAGAAGCTAGGCCACTTATTTCCCAGAGTTCCTTGCGCGGTTCTATTTACATAAGATATATTCCGTTTTTGCGTATTGCAGAGTTATCTGCTCTTGAGAGCAGGGATTGATTGTTACGTCATTTGTTTGTGCGAGAAAATTACGTCGTTTTCTCAAAAATTGATGACGTCACTCTCACAAACAAATGACGTAACACTCAATACCTGCTCACAAGAGCAGATAACTCTGCAATACGAAAAGACGGAATATATAAACAGATACATTAGAGTTAACTACTCTTTCAGAGAAAAAAATATGGAGAACTTATAATTCCCAATGTTATACAAACAACAACATACAAAAATGGCACATTTTTCTTATCAATCTCATGCATAAGCAAATGTTGATCGATTGTAACAAAAATATACTTATAATAAATAAACCATTCAATTCAATCTTCACTCTGTGCTGGCTGCGAAGTTTTGAAACATTTTCATTTTGATACGACTTTCCTGTCAAAACACAAGGCAATACTTAGCACTAATATAGAATGATAATTTGTTATGTATCTATAAAAACACATGTATTGAATAATAATACAAAGCTTGTTATCCAAGAGTTCCCTTTCCAATCCTTCCATTTACTTCTCTCATTTGTCAAAATGGTCATTTTTTTTATTTGGAATAGTCACTACCTCTCTACGCCGTCACCAGACAAACATAGACACACAAACTCCGACTCATCAACGAAAACGTATAAAGTAACGTTAATCTTTTAGGGGAAAAATGAACGAGGCATGAACAAATCAAACAAATGGCATTTATATCAAGGTTATACCGTAATCTCTTAAAACGCCAAATGTATATCAACATTGATACTAGAAGATACAAGCAGGCATTGGTCTTAAAATAGCAACAACGCATCTTGAAGCATTTTAAGGAAACACTTAGTTTTCACAAACTCATTGAAACATACAACTCATAACAATCAACTGACTTCCCATTGTCAAGCTCCTCACCATCCTCGACCCCAGGTGAAAATCGCACTAACGCATAAAGTTTAACACCTGGGATCGAGGATGATTGTTCACTTTGCGCGCTCATAACTGTAACTTAAGTTAAAACAAATAAGCTATAAGGGCTTGACGGGCTTTAGCCCCTTTTTTGACCAAAATTTGTCCTCATTTGTTTATTCCTTTCTCAATCTAGATCATATTTGGTCATTTCATTTGAATAGAAGTTATGAATCAGATAATCTAAAAAGACTTGGGGTAGGTATAGGTGTTATTAAAAAAGAAATCTACCTAGCATCTATGCGATTGTATCGGTTCTTATTGCTCGTATGTCAGTAACACTAAATTAAACAGCGGCATGTTTTCAAACTATTTTCCCCAAATGTCTTCCGACTAAATACCAGATACAATCTCTTTAGTTTAAAACTCATATTCCTTATATAAATAATATAAATTCACTCTCACTCATCATAAATATGTCCCTATGATTTTGTTTTTCCTTTGACATGTCTATCAATTAAACCTTCTTTTTAACGTAATGCCGCATTTTGAAAAATACATCATTATGCCTCGTCTTCATAACAGTGTATATATGACTGGACTAAGTTGATCACATGACGCGGAAATAACTCGCGCTCGAGTTTCCTCGGTCATATGTCACTCATTCGAGCCTCTCTAATAAGTTAGCAAGAGACACCACACTTGAGTTCCGAGCGACTGAAGCAGACAACATTGGTCCGTAATCCTGGTCGTCTTCACTGTTGTGTTATTTTTCTGATTAGGTATATAAACATTTTCGTTTTCCTTTTGTTGGGGAAACAAGACACTTTATTTCCCCGAGATTATTCATGTTTCGCTCAGGTTCCACTCTCGAGGAATTTAACTAATCCCGGAGAAATAGAGAATCGTATTTCTCTACAACATGGACATTCAAATGTGTAATGATCGAAAAAAGACGGAATGTGCACGCCATTCTGACCAGCAAATGTTACACTAAGACAGCCACTTCAGCTTAAGCATACAGATGTCTGTGACAAAAACAAAACATTGAAAGGTCTTACGACGATTTAATCGATTTCTCCCCAGTCCTTTCCTTCCTCATTTGAATGGTCTTTGGAGAGACGGTTTTTCGGTCTGAAGCTAGTCCCAAAAACGCCATAACATCTATGAACATCGTGGTGACATTCAAACGAACACCAAACTCACTTGCGGCGTAGTCATGTGGAAATACATGATGATAATTGTGAAAGCCCTCTCCGACCGCACCTAGAGCCACGCCCAGGTTGTTGGAGGGATTGATTGTCTTATCGTAGGGTTTGTTTCCCCATATATGGGCAGCACTGTTCACTAGCCACGTAGCGTTCAGTACCAAAGTGTAACGTAGAATGGAAGCTAGGTAGAACGAATTCCACAAAGTCTCTCCCCAGAAATACCACGGTACCACAGTCGGCAAAATGAAACACATCAACAGCACAGACGTCTTGTAAAACCTGGCAAATGAGAAGAAAATGAGAAAGATGTCATTCATACCACACAAAAGCAAGGAAAAGCTCGAATAATGAACATATGATACTTAAGTACACACATGTCAAGCTAAGGTTAACGAAACAAGCTCCCGAAAAGATGGTAAAGTCACTCTTTTTCTCAAACCCCTGATCACTTATGTTTAAAGACTCCCATAATCATTGGAATTCAAATGTATCGATCTGCTACTTTAGCGACACAGCGACGTAAAACGAAGTCAATAATAATTAAGGCATCGATGAAGTGGTCTTCATAAAATAGTTCACCAGGATTAAAACACATCGATTTTTCTTTAGCAAGCCAAATGAATGTTACAAAAGGACATGCTATAATGTACATTGACTTCTTTCATTATCTGTGGAGAGGCATACCGGTCTCATATCAAAACAGATGTGATCATGCAAAACGTCTTAAACCATTAAAATAAAAAAATCCGGTAATATATCTTAGCAGACTGCGAATACGAAAATGAAGGCTAAGCAATTTAGAATGATAAAAGAACTTTCGATATGGGTTATTTCATAATATTCTGTGGTGTTGACATGTAATAATAAATGATAATGATAGGCTTTATTTAGTATCGGCAGTCCATCGAACCAAAGGCTCTTCTACTGTCATAAGACCGCTTCAAAATGTATGGTGTTCAAAGGTATGGAAAAATCACAAGAAATACGAAGAAAGAAGAAGCACATATTTGATTTGGCATGTTGATTCAGAAACTCAAACAAAGATAACATTTCTTCTGCGTCCTATACATATTTCATCAATTTATTTACTCAACAGTGGTGTGTACATGTAGGATAAGGTCAAAAGAACTCAAAACCAATGTCATTAGCTTTTCGAAACTTATTTAGAAATACGGGATAAGTATTCTTTTATACAACACTTAATTTCACGAAAAGGATACTCTACATAAAAAGTATATTTTACTTGTAATGATCAAGGTCACAAAGCCATAGGTTTTAAACTATATGCCGGTAAAATAAATTAGCAAAGATCCCCCCTGATATTTTAGTGGTTTCACGTAGCCACTACCATCTAGGGTTGAAACCAGAGAAAAAAAAACTGCTCCGCATGACCTAGGGATAAGATAAACTCCACGTTTACATATGTTGTTGATAAGGATGCACCTGTATTTTAAATTTAAAAGGATTATTCAGAAATTGTGTCAAGTCCTATGCAAAGTTTTTAACTTCATTGCAGCATGAACTTAATGTTAAATATTTTTATTTTTTATTTTACCTTTTTAAAAATTATACTTATAACATGTTAGATTTACTGGTAACCATAACAGACAGATTTAAGAGTGATTCAGATCATAACAGATTATATGTAAATAGTATACAGCAATGCATAACCCACCTGTTTGTACATGTCTACAATGTCACTGAATAGCATTTATAACTCTCCTGTTTGGTATAATAATTAAACATACGGTCACACTTTTATGTTTTTGCGAGTATATATGTTTACGTCAATTAAAAACATCACTATAGGGGAATTGTAAAGCTTTAGATAAACAAAAATGAAAGAAAAATATCAAGGCCGATTTTTTAAAAACTTTTTAAAAACATTTGTAATGACTTTACTCGGTATAGTATCGGCGTGTATGGGAAACTATGCCTTAACTGTCCTTGGTCTTTTGTGTAAGATGTAGCTGAACTAGGGTTTAAAAAAACCCAAAACACTTCTAACAATCTCACCTTATTTGTATAGTGGCTGTGTACACATGTGAAGAATTTACAAGTATCCCGCACGTGTGACACAACACTTTAACAAAAACAGACACCATGCAGTCTAGACACATCGCCTTAACCGTTACACGTACATTTCCACTTGGGAAATATTACCCTATGTTCGATAGATAACATTAATCACTAAGGTTTTAATGTTTTGTAAAATGAGGTTGGCTGTGACCTTGTAGGTGGAAGTTATTCCGGCACAGTTAACACGAACTTCTTGTTTATGCTCAACCTTTCTACACAGTTGTGAGGTATTTTATATTATATCATATGTAAGCACGTTTGCCCTTAGTTTGAACTTTCTTTTATTTCAGTTCAAGCATGTTATTACAACGAACAGAGAAGACAAAGGGAACTAGGAACAAGTGTCACATACACTTATGTAAACCTATCACCAGGTATACTAAACAGCAACTAATATATTCAGTACGTGATAACACCATTCATACACACATCACACGCATATATATATATATATATATGCCAATAATTAATGGTTATAACGTTTGCCCTTACCCTGTATTTCTAAATTAAAAACTAAATATATGGGTTTAATTCTTTTGACATTAACCAACACTGATGATATGGGTATATGATGTAAAAAAATAAAATGTTTTTTTTTTTTCGTTGTGTTTCCAGTAATGATTCCATATCTTTGAACACCATATATTTTGAAGCGGCCTTATGACAGAAGACCCTTTGGCTCGATGGACTGCCGATACAAAATAAAACCTACCAACTTTTCTTTATATGCATTATAGAATTAGGGAAATCTAATCAAACAATCCAATTGTATAAAAGTTTTATTTTCATGACAGTTAAGATCTTCAAGTAACATTTCCCCCTAAATCACATAAAAAGGCTCATTTCTGCAAAACAAAAATTGGTCTCTGAAAGACTACGTGAAGTGAAATGAATGACTAATACATGACGGGAATACTGCCTCGTGTTTTGCAATTTGCATTAATAATATTTTTAATGCATCTTCATGCTGGCTGAAGCGACTATCTGTATTGTGAACGGTAGAAATGATGAAGTTAGTCTCAATTGAAAATTTTCCTATCAATTTCGTAACCGATGATACAAAACATTAATTTAGCAATAAAAAATCTGATCATGCTAACAATAAACGTGTTTTTGTTTATATTACCATGTGTTGACAAAAAAATCATCGATATGACAGCTGTAAATTATTTTTCTGTAAAACATTTGAAATATAATGTAAGTTTAGTGTTGAGGTTGAAAATGTCAAAATTTAGTCTATTTAATAATGGAGATTCAGATTGTTGCTGTCAGTGTCTGATTAACTCGTATTCTTTACTGAAACAAACAAATATGTATCTCTCTCTAAAAGGGCATTTAAACGAAATCAGTTAATATAAAAAAAAAAGCCTTGAATACATTTAAAAATGACGTATATTGACTGTAACTGTCTTTTGAAATACTCCCTGTAGTCGCTATGGTCAAATAAACACCGACTACCAGTAAAATGCATAACACAATACTGCTAATAACATTAGGACAAAAATCAGCTACGTTCTAATTGTAAGTATGCCATATGGTACTCCGCCTGAACTAAGGTGTATTGAAATAATGTTATTTCATCAGAAATACTTTCGTCTATGTTGCTGGTTTGTGTTGGTCATACAATTTTGACGTTAACATTCGTTCCCTTATAAGCGTTCTTTCAGTGATCTCATTCCATGATTTGAAGGTCAAAATTTCCCTTTCAGAATTTGTCCCAGTAATCATTATTGATACATATTCGAAAATCCAGGGGTTAACTCGGAAAACGGAAGTGAGTATAATCCCTGGAATTTCGAGGATGATGCACATATTTCATATCAATATACATGAATTGGCATTTCCCTTTTTATTTCTTTTAAAATTCGTCGGCAGAACATAAACTGACCTTTTTTGAATCATCACAACGGGGTCGTTGTACATATCCTGGAGGCTAATTAGTTTGCCCTTGGCAAGGACTTTCGGGTGTTTTTTGACCATCAGCCAGCCTACATGGGAAAAGAAGAACCCGCGTGTGGCGTTGTGCGGATCGGCATTTGTCTCCGAGTACTTGTGATGGACTCTGTGGTCTCGTACCCAGTCGAAAATGTTGTTCTAAAAAGACAAACAAACAATGATCTGTTAACATATCGACTTGTACTCCAGTTTGCTTACATCCGGGCCAACAAAGGGTGAATAATATAAGTTGAAATAACTTGTTTCATAATTGTTGCAAAATTAATAAAGTTTATGTTTTTGGTGTAAGTATTGAACTTGTATAAATATAATATATATAATTGTAGGTATAAGACCCAAACAGTGTTTTTGATTGTCCTTCAGCGGCGGATCCAGAGACTTTTCTGGAGGGGTTTCCAAATTTCCAGGGATGGGGGTGTTGTTTCCATGTGGGGAAAAAATTGAGGAATATGGTGAAAATTCTCAGGGGGAGAGGTGGTGTTCTTGAAGCCCAAAAAACCAAAACCCTCTGGATCCGCCACTGTCCTTTGCCGTATATTATTATTTCCCAATGAACATTACTTTTGTTGAAATGTTGAAATGTATGATTAATTATTTGATAATTAGTTAAAGGATGAAATTGTAAAATATATTTCATTTAAAGACTTTATACACGGTATATTCAGTTATGAAGCGTTCATTTAGGCAAAGAAGCAGTTTCATTCACAACAATAAAATCACATGTATTATAAGTGGATTTTCCTATGTGATCCGGAATAGGGAATGTATATATAGATACATATCGAATTTGATTGTTTTTCCCTTCTGATTTAGAAGGATTGCTTTACTAGCGAATGAATGACGCACTATAGTACGTTCTGTAGCACACGAAGATTCTCTCCATTACCGACGGTGCAGATAAAACCGACTTTAGAACCGATCAATACGAGTGCACTCCATACACAAATGTCTGTATGTTTACGCTCGTGTTTTCTGTGGTATACCTCTTATTTTAGAAATGCTGCAATGCTTTTTTATTGACGGATGAATGCCAAAAAATAATTCATATTGCATATCCATGTTCCATTTGCTCTTAACACCAGAGCAGAATAACAATTTCGGTCGGAGAAAACAACATCGTGAATGCAGTAATACGACTTTAGCATGGTCTAAAATAGCACCGGCTAATTCGGAATACATCTAGGTTTTTGTTTTATCCATTTGATCAGTATGGATAAACACCGATTCGTTCTATCCATGGAATTTTGATTACTGTAATACCAACTTTGTATTTTATATGAACTAAGGAAGGCATCTTTTACCTGCAGAGCTGCTGACTGAAGGAAGGCCAGGAACACGCGGAGTGGTGTTTTAGCCTTGTAAGCCCGATGTGACCAGAGTCTGTGAGCCCCTGCTGTCACCCCGACGGCAGTGAAGAAGCAGTATACCAGGACTGAAAAAATAAAAAGCATAATCGTGATTAAAATCTTGATAGTTTGCTATGAAGATTAAATATGTTATGATTGTGAATAATTCCGAAAATCTAAGAATATTGTGGAGAAAAAAAGATCCCTATCTATTGTTATTAAAAGCAACCTGATGGCCTGTCCTTGTATCTTTAGCATGAACACTGAAGTAGAGAGTCGCAGTGCTTTTGATAATACTTATTCAATCAATAATATTCAACAACATTTTGGGGAATAATTTCAAAAACTTAAACTTGCCCGTAACCTTCATTTTTTCTTGTATTAATAAAGCAAAAAAATAATGTAAAATATAAAATTACTAGGACACTCAGCCTTAATAACGAGATCAAAGACTGCTAGACCACAATCTGACAACTTATGTTAAAGGACACAGAATGCGAAACGGTAATCCATATATTCTTTCTTATTTAAACAGCTATCGCATCCATGCAATGCCATGTTTATACAGGTATATACATACCACAACCAGCGAAAGGTCCATATGTGACGTTTCGATGACTAGTACAACTTATACTGTCACATTCCAGAGACAAAGCATAAAGGTGACAAAATTACAGATATTACTTGCCATCGAAGCATCACAGAAAAATGTTTCACCGGTTGTGCTGTATGAGCCGTACCTTACAATCTACACCTACCAACCCGAAAAAAACGGTTAAGATACATCTAACTCCATTATTTCGACAAAATGTGTGCAGACCGTCTAACACAACGATTCTATTTAATTACGTTTTTGTATAGGTGTATTAAGTGTGATGAAGTGCGCTAAAACGCTCTCAATTCATTATATAACTAGCACAGTCGTAGTATCCGCTTGCAATATCAGGATTGCGACAAAGTTGAAGTGGATCATCTTTCATAATGATTGTTTCAAATTATTCGTCTGCATATCATGTTTCCTGTGACCGTCTACAAAGTATATTCAGTATAATGTTATATATAGCCTTTCTGATTAAAGCTTATAAGTTTGAACGGGATATATGGAGGGCATTACGTGAGCACGTGATTGTGTGCTGAATTTGTTGTTGCAAATGTTTTCGTTAAAGTGGCCTTTTATGTAGTACTTATAATGCCATCTCACGTGGTTGTCAGTAAATCGATATGCAATCATCTGCACTAAAGACCTTGCAGACAATTGTATTCGCGTCACACACACAGCAGACGAAACATGTATGCACTCGTGGGCAACGCCGTTGTCTCTGTCTCAATCAGGTTTATCGTAATTTGTCGGCCATCATGTGGGTATATTGACAGGTCTGGGAAGGAGACTGTTGTGTTCAAGTCGATGTTTTGCTGATAACAGTACGGAACGAAGAGGGGATCTAGATTGTACAGAGCTTCATACAACATAAACAGTTAATATTTACGCGTGATTTTCATGACTTGTACGATGTTTACTTTGTCACCTCCATCAGATTTGTCTGATGAAGGTGACAAAGTACACATCGAAATGATCACGGAAATGTCTAGCAGCATAAATATTAACTGGTTGTGCTATATGAACCACTATGCAATGCCCACTCACCAACCGGAAGATGTGTTTTAGAAATAGAAGAAAGAGTGCATAGCATATAACTACATCAGTAAACAAGATTTGGCATAGGAAGTGGAGTATTGAAAAGATACTAAAATCACAAAAGCTCATACTGGGCATAACTATCGTTTCACGAAAATACTACTGGCATTCCATATATGATATCGATGCGCCTTCACGGGTATTTGGAAATAGCGTTGGGCAGACCGTATGAGAGAAGTGTTTAACTTACCCCACGCCCATGTTAGTGGAAGTGACCAGGGAATCAACGTTATTGAATACAGAGCAGCAAGATGGAGAACAGAAAATATTCCGACATTTTTCCATACGATTTTCATGGGCGGATCTTCCTCGTTCACTTCTTCCGGTTTAACCACAGCGTCCAGGCCAAGTTGATCTGTGTCTTCTGTGAGCGTGGATGTTGTTTCCGATTCCGGGTTTCTTGGCGCCATCTTTATGATGATTGATTACAGCAAATCACTGTGAATATAAGCAAAAAGGACACCGTAAACCCAAATTCTAATAAAGTAAAACGACAAAACTGGGAGATTATTAATGTTGAAAAAGCCATTGCATCTTACTCAATACAACCGGCCTTTCTAACATAGTAATAGGGTGTCGTCTGCCTACGAACAAAAACCATATATATACATTACTAAAGTTTGCCGTTGGGAATTGATGTAGAATATGTTTTGTTTGTTTCTTTTTCATATTTTGCAATACCATCATCGAATTCCCATGACTTTGCTCATTTATCAAAATGCCTGTCAAAAGTGGGGGTAATCGGGTGGTCGGGTCGCGTAAGTGGATAACGGACTCGCTATCCGCCAAAGCGGCCGGGGTTCGATTTCCCGATCAGACGTGAAAAGCTATGGAATATATAAGTTGGAATAACTTGTTACATACTGTTTGTTAATCAAATGAAGTTTATATTAAAAGCAGGGTTGACCACTCAGTGGTATGTACGTGGGCACTATGGGGTTGTCACCATGTCGGTGAGAAACACTGTATGACAATACAAGATGACACCTCATGTAAAAATTTCAACAGTGCCATTTTATTAAGTAAACTGAACCTTCGGCTAACAGAATCTGGGCATCATAGCGACTATGCAATAATAAAATACCAATATGAATGAAATATAAGCCGACGTGTCCTTTTCGTGTTGTCCTGAAATGTCATCTAGGGAAAACGATTCGATCAAGTTTGTAATGTCACATTTGATAGCTAAGCAGCACGATTTCTGACAATGACTGAAACTTTAAATACGACATTTATGAATGTTTGTATATATGCACACAGTGGATTGCAACCTGTACAGTTTGTTAATAGATACAGCATGAATTACACTGAACCATACTCCTGCTTCGTCCTTCCTTCGAACACTCGTCGGTAATGCTAGGAGTCAAAACAGTGGGGAAAACAGGAGGACTCATGCTCTCTCCATTATCCAATGATTCACCTGTCGTCTGGTCAAGTAAGGAGATCAGTTTCATTCGCGTGTCAAAAGATCTTGGCACTCTGATCCTTAATCAATGGCGTACACACATCAACATGTGAAATCGCTGTCTGTCTTGACATGCAAGTAAAGCATATAATTCGACCGTTGCCATGGGAACGGACTGTCTCCGCGTCTGGCTGTTCAGTAACGCTGCTATTTACAATCGGTCTGGCGTTTTGTTTACAAGGGGATATTTAGTGTATCGACGTCTTAGTCAGAATGCGGACATTTTAAAACAATTTTGCTTTGCCATCAATCAATGATACGATGTAGTATTTATATACATCGAGAAGCAGCTTAAGACGGACGGGCAAATATTCATATCACGTGTATTTGGGTAATTATTAAATGAAATTATTGTATTTGCTGAATTGATGACAATACACGGAGGTTGACCTTCCAGCCGTATACGCACGGCGCTCTGGTGTTGCCATGTTGGTGGGGGGAAACAGAGTATCCGTTATCGTATTTCTGTGTTTTGGATTCGTATACCCTCATAATTTCGTGATTTCATACTTGACCAAAGAACAGAATGGATATAAACTCAAAATGTCGATAAACACAAAATGAAGTAAACATAAAGTTTAGAAAAAGGAAAAAAACGAAGGAAATACTCAGATGTCAAACTTTATGATACAAACACGCATCAGAGTTACAACAGTTCAACACTAGAACCATATGTGAAAAAATCATTAAAGAATGGCAATTATGACATCTTTAAGAATCCCTGTCCCAGGACAGGCAAAACACTAGATAATAACCCCCCTTAATTATATTTTGGATATAACTGTACCACAATTAGGACAGGGCACGTCTGTTAGTATTAAAATTTGAGGCTCACGGTTCGAATCCTAGTTCAGCCAAGCTGAACTAAATTGCTCCAAAAAAACATCATAAGAATCCCTCAAAGTATATAGCTTTCCTTTGGAAAAATGATTCATGAAATCTAAAGTGATGCCGTAAACAGTTGCTAAAGAATAATTGAAGTTTTATGTAGTAATATGGACTCTTTGAGTTGGTACATAATATATATAAATTAATTAAGTATATCCTCATTGGTTGAAAACATAAGGGAAATAACTCTAACCAAAATCGCATGGAAATTAAACGTAGCATACATCCTTAAGACTCCTTTGTGACAAGCATCACAGACTACGTTTTCTTATGTTTGCCCTACACTTAAACTACGTTTCTGCAGATGTTTGGGCAAACATCGTTTTCTGGTTAGTCAATATAAAATCACGGTTTTGAGTTCAGTAGTCCTGAATAATTGTACACGCACAAACACGTACTATAGCCCTGGTGTGTATGTGTGAACAGACCTGTAAGGCCGATCGGTGATTCAGTATTTCATCTTTAAGGTAATGGTATATATTTGAAAGCATAACCTTAACATGTCATTTACCGGTCCGTATTGAAATATATGGGACCAAAGTGTGTACGCACTTTTGATCAATATATATGCAGAATTAAGGGAGAAGATTTTGTCAAACTACCTCTGACCGTAAACTGTCTAATAACTCATGTGTTCGGTCTGGTAATTTTTATTATTTTTTTATTAAATTTTGCATAAATTAGGAATAGCATTTAGCATTTTCTGTCTTTATAGTCCTTTAAATAGTCTCTTCTCACATTCTGTAGGAGACTTATTATTATGTACAAACTTTTTTGAAGAATTCTCAATAGGTTTTAAAGAGGTGGAGTCAATGGTGTATTCACAGATTTTCGATCGAGCGTGTAGTTCATTCAGCATTCATGACATGTTGAATGATAGGTAAGAACAAGGTACAATGAACGAAGTTTTACGATATAATACAACCAGATGTAAAAACGTAAATAAAGTAATTATTTTAGGCCAAACAGATTTAGGAGTTGATGATTTTTTACCGACGCTCTTTTGAAACCTTATCCTACATGTATATCGTTTTTGAGCTCATCTTAGACAACTGATTATACTGCTTAAGTCAAGATCCTTAACTCATTCACCCCTGAATAGGAAGAGTTCAAATGTGTCTTAAGGGGTGAATGAGTTAACTGTTCCACATGTGTATCGTCTATATAAATGTGTGTAACAAAATAAAATATGTTCCCCTGCCTACCGGCCTTAAGTTTTTAATTGGTAAACCGGAAGCAAACGAATAGTTTTAGGCCGTTTAAACACACACACACACACACATATATATATATACACATACACAGTGTATACTGAACTGTATTTGAAATCATGGCTAGTGCAGAAACGTTATGAGTAAGATTAAAGCTCACAAAACGCGTTGACAGCGTTTTATCATAACTGTTTTTGTTGTTCAGTGGCAACCCTAGTTACCAAGGTCGGAGCCGAAAGATAGTTCAACACTCAAACTGTTTATAAATACTTACATATTTAGAATTACATACATTTATATGCATACCTAATTAATACCACACAATACATAGAAAGAATAGAAGTCATGCATTTGCATGTTTGCAGGCAGTAGCTCCGTCTACGGTTATGCATTTTTTACACTGTGTACCAATCTACATCTGGTCAAAATATGTCTTGCCAAAATGTGTTCGCTCAGCTAAAAACATTTTTTAAATCTTTTTAAAACAATTTTGGTAAGACGAAGAAAGGAAAGTAACTTAATTTTTGGTCTGGTGATCCTTAAAATTATTTTGCATACAGTGAGCTTCAACGATAAGGCAAGTTGACAAGTAAGCGTAATACAAATGAATACCTATGACAGTAATACACATACTGAAACATCGTTACCTTTTATCGATGGACGATTATCGCCCCTGTGTATGGAATATTTCTTCCAGTCACGCACGAAGAGGAGGTGACACTTATTACTTAAAGAAAAATCAGGACATCATGTCCATTATATAACAGCCCAAAGGGAGAAGTACATATGCATTTATGTTCATGCGTATCAAAAATAGCATCTGGACGAGCTGATTTAATCTCCAGGTCAAGGAGAGGGCACCATTTTAGCACGTGTCGATGGCGCTCGAGTGGTCAAGGCGAGGTTATTACACAATTCCTTTATAATAACTATATGTAGCGTAATTAGTGAAGATTTGTAGGATGTAGGATGATCGTACCATTAAAACGTACAGGGGGTACCCATGTGGTCAAACGGAAGTAGCGAAGACAACCAAGGCGGTGTAATCCGTGCTTTCTGTATGGTAGCTTGGGGTGGGTGCATGGTGGTGGTGCAAGGACACATGGGAACTTGTTACATTCGACATTTGTTGACCTATCCTGATGTGACAAGAGTAATATTAGACATTTTATAGGTTAAGATCTGTGCTGGCACCAATAATGATGCATGTACTACATTTGTATATGCCAGAGTTTATATTAATCCATGACATGTTTAGGTTCAAACATACTTGATGCAACAAACTTGCATGTCCCTGTGAGCTGTGATACACATTACTTTTGATATATATACTATATCATATATAATTAACAATTTCTGCTCTTTGCACCCATGCACATATCTATACGTTACGATCCGGGTACTCATTATCAATAAACGATTTGTACTGATTATCGGGCTACTGACCATTGCAACATCAAAACTGTCCTTTTCATGAGGCTGTGCTGGTGTAATGGTCAGACTTGAGCATATTTGTCAGCTAGGCAATTTGGTGCCATCGGGAGTTCGAGGCCGTGCGCGCAGACAGGGCACGGGGCCGTTCAATGGTTTCTTTATATATTTATCGGAAGCAGCAAGGACACATCACTAGGTAAGACGTACACTGCCCACCAATACACGATGAATAACAGAAGTCGCAATGACACCAGTACGGTCAGGGTTAATAAACATGTCAATATACAAAACATTTAACAATCGCTGATACCAGTATGATAAATGAACGAGTTAACTATCTCTACCCATTATGTAACGAGCCAAGGACACCCGTGCAGACACGACATGATTAACGAACCAAGGACATCTGTACGGATACGACAGACCTAACAAACCAAGGACACCCGTGCAGATATCCCAGAACTAACAAACCAAGGACACCCGTGCAGATATCCCAGAACTAACAAAACAAGAACACCCGTGCAGACCTGACATGATTAACGAACCAAGGACATCCGTGCAGATCTCCCAGAACTAACAAACCAAGGACACCCGTGCAGACCTGACATGATTAACGAACCAAGGACACCCGTGCAGATCTCCCAGAACTAACAAACCAAGGACACCCGTGCAGATCTCCCAGAACTAACAAACCAAGGACACCCGTGCAGATCTCCCAGAACTAACAAAACAAGGACACCCGTGTAGACCTGACATGATTAACGAACCAATGACAACCGTACGGATACGACAGAACTAACGAACCAAGGACACCCGTACGGATACGACAGAACTAACGAACCAAGGACACCCGTACGGATAAGACAGAACTAACGAACCAAGGACACCCGTATGGATAGGTCAGAACTAACGAACCAAGGACACCCGTACGGATGAGACAGGACAGACGAACCAAGGACACCCGTACGGATAAGACAGAACTGACGAACCAAGGACACCCGTACGGATAAGACAGAACTGACGAACCAAGGACACCCGTACGGATAAGACAGAACTGACGAACCAAGGACACCCGTACGGATAAGACAGAACTGACGAACCAAGGACACCCGTACGGATAAGACAGAACTGACGAACCAAGGACACCCGTACGGATAAGACAGAACTGACGAACCAAGGACACCCGTACGTATAACGAGTAACAATAACATAAACATTAAAGACATACGAACGTTAAAGACGGAAGCAACTATTACTAAGAACCTGAGACAACCGTTTTGTTAACCCGGGAGTGATCAAAGCAGGGGTGACTATAATCTGAGAACCAAGTACAGGAAAATGCCACATATGCTCAATAACTGTACATAGATATATAAATTGGCGTCACAGTTTATCTAACGTCGACGTACCCAAATTGAGTCACTTTTATAACATTATTGATAAAATATGAAATCTGCATCGACACAGTAACTCCATGGTTTGTTTTTAAAAACTAGAACACTAGATCGTTTTGTATATATATATATTTATCCACGCAGCGGTCACGTGTTACTAAATATATACTACTAGACATTTATATTTCCACTACAACTTCCTCTGTTAGTATAACCCTTAGATATGATGTCCACATGACCATGGACCTTTGAAGCGTCTGTTCCCACCTCGAATAATGTGAGATAACCGTTAGAAGTAAAACTTTTGCTGACGGTTCAGAAATCTCTTTTGCACTCACGATGTACACACAGACACAGAAAATAAGTTAATACCTATACGTCTTTGTTTTTAGATCAATAATACCTTTAAAATTTAAAATGGAAATATATGTATTTAACTGTATTTTTCAACACTCATGGCCGGTATATCCTTACCTGTATACGGTGACGCCCGTTTAGATTTAACATGTTATTGTGGTACCAAGGACACCCGTGCCTGTGTAGGTTAGGTACAATACATGTTGTGTACTGGCCAACATTAGTTTATGGGTGTACCATTCATAGCACAGAAGATACGGTGAGAGGGCGCATTCATATCCTTTCACACTTTGCTTCGAAAAACTTTATTTCAATTATCAATACTGGGTTTTGTACACTTCATGAGAAATGCACTATGGCCTTTAAATGGGATATTGAATGTGGAGCAGCTCATACGTAGCATCACCTAACATGTTCCGACAAAAAAGCACAGAAAAAAACCCCCGAAGTTCGTGTTAATACTTGATTACATATATAAAGAATTTTAGAATTATGTCCGAGCTTAAGGCTTAACATAAATATATATATATTTGAAATAAAACCTTATTTTCCTTCTAATTATAGCGCTAAATATATCTTAAATGTCAATTGAATTTACCAGAAAGTAAATCACGTCCTTTGATAAAATCCACCAAAAAATACGACAAAATGTATTATACAGAAAGTGATTGAACAGCAATAATTATATACCGCCAACACGAACATGGCACACAACTGCGATCGATTTTACGATGACGTCGTACAGATATATTTGTAATGTCAAACCCGATATCCCTGTATATTTCAACTTACCTTATCTGCGAACGATTCGACATCCCGTCAGATGAAAACCTTTGTATGTTGTGTCTTTCTGATGTATTTTTTACCTTGTCTACCCGCTGTTTCGATAGCGATATACACACTTGCTTCGGCAGGCGCTAGTAACCGGCTTAGTAGTGTTAGACACACGGAAATGATACAACCACACTCTCAAGTCACATGTGTAGCTGCGGGCCTCCAGAGCTGCCTTAAGTGGCTACTTCCGTTACATAAGGCGGTCAATTCATTTCATCATAGTTGGTTTTTCGTTATGTGTGATGGTTACTTCATTATATTTTTAGTGTTCATTAAATTATGTGGTGGTCACTTTATTATAGATGGTCATTTCATTATATATGTAGTGGTCATTTCATTATATGTGGTGGTCATTTCATTATTGCCGTTTAATACATTCCAAATTAAACGCGATTTATTTTGATTTTCGAATGATGACTAAGTAGCTGACAGCAGTTAGCACCCCCTGTTGGTAAAGTAATTGTAAGATAAAGGGGCGCTGAGGGGTCAGTCTGAAAATGCGCAGTGGGATACAGCGCATCCTTGTCCTTTTTCATCCCACCAGCGAACACGTAACACGTACATCAAGTCAAGTCGTATTCAAAATTAAAATAATTATAATGCCAGTGTACAAGAAGATCGGCGGAAAGCGAAAGGCAACAGGAGGTACTCCAGCTAGATGGCGGAACTGTATAGACAGTCCCGAGTGGCAGGACATGGCGGGGAGGCATACAATTATACATTTTTCTGTTATGTAATATGTATTTGTGTTGTATATTATTAGGCTGTGTACTGACTTGTCAATAGTGTTGCTAGGGGTGCCCCTAGCAGACTAATTTAAACTCGCTATGGTGGTATCCTAGCAGTTTGTGGCGGGAATGTGCATAGTCTAATTAATAGTAACCAACCCACTAATGCTTGCCAAGTGAATCCCTGGGAGCTAAAGTGGGATTGGTGATTATGGTTCTCCAAGTTGGAGATGTTGGTTACCGTCTTGCCATGGGTGTGAGAGCGGTTTTGGTACAAGTACATGCAAACTCTGCAAGGTCAGAGAGCAAGTGGCTTTATGTCCGGTACCTGCGGGTAGATATTCAGCAGGGATCTTGCTTTTGCGTGTACTTGGTATAATATTTGTATTTAATGTCCGGCCAAGGATTTACCTGGAGGACTACTTGGTTAACCTGCCCGCCATATTCTGAGGTTGTACAATTTGACATTAAATGAGGCTGTGGCCATTTAATTCCAGTATCTAGTTTGGTTTTATATTATTATGAGGAAATGTCTTAAAATAAATATGTAGTGGTCATTCCATTATATGTGGTGGTCATTCCATTATATATTGTCATTTCATTGTAGATGGTGGTCATTTCATAATATATGGTGGGCATTCCATTATATGTTTTGGTGACGTCATTATTTGTGTAATGGTCATTTCATTAAATATGTGTTAGCAATTTCATAACATGTGGTGGTCATTTCATTATATATGTGGTGGTCATTTCATTATATGTGGTGGTCATTTCATTATATATGTGGTGGTCATTTCATTATGTCTGTGGTGGTTTGTTCATGATATGTGGTGGTTATTTAATTTCATTTTGACATTTTATTATATGTAAGGTGGTCATTTCATTGTATTATGTGGTCATTTCCTTAAAAAAATGAAGTGGTGTTTTTGGTATTCCTGAATATGACATGATATGCCAGTCCGATAGCCTATTTTGATGAAGACATCAGCCTTATGTCTTGTTATTGACTATGTTATCCTCGCTACGAATCATTTTAATAACTAATGTACAAGTCCATTAAATTAAAATTACATAATTATATTAGTTCAAATTTGGAATTGGGGTCTTTGGATATGGCCTACCATGGGTTTGAAATTTATTGTGACTATATAGCCACGTTCAGGTGTTTTTTTTTAACTCATTTTCATCAGAGGCCCGCTGATGTCACCCTTTTACTTCGTACAGGCGAATGCATCAGATTTGACCTTGACCGATATCATAACACTTGTGCTTTTGTCGTTTTGTCTGCCACGAGACGATCGATATGCTGGAATTTACACCAATCTATATTTAGCTGCCTTGCTTGTGTGCACGTGATACGATCGTTAATATGATAGCATATACGTGTTTAGGTGATTTTCTCATACGACCCTTTTCTGTAAGATCTCTATTTATAGCAATCGAATCAATATATTATATGACGTCATTAGTCAAGGGGAATTCCCAGAACATCGCGTGTTGCTTCAGATTTTGTTTAGCTAACGGAATTATCTTTGTTTCTATTTATAATAACGTTTCAAACATACAGAACGGGTGTGACTGTAAGAAGTACACTTATAAATATAAAGAACTATTCATATCAACATGAATTATCAATTTATTGCCTTATTTACTAAGTTGACTTTTAAACTACGTGCGTGATAAGTTTGAAAGAACTCACCGCTAAATTGCCCTTCCTCGGTGATAAAATGTACAACGATAACAGGTTATTTAAGGGAGCGTTATTTTGGGACATGTCATGCAGATAGCACACTAATGTTAGTTATTACATATTTGTGTTCTAGCATTATTCTTATGGAAATGATATAATCTTTGTTATATATAGCACATTATATTTGAGGTTATATTTTGACAATATGACGGAAGTGATTTTATCAATTTAGTCTAAACAAATTTATCAGTAAAAAAATTCCAAAAAAGACATTCGGTTTTTATTATTTCTTACTAAAGCAGATGCATAGGGAATCATATTATATATTCGATATAAATGGCGTTTTTGAAATATTATAAATAAACTATGATGCAAGTATATAGCTACGATTGCTGCGCACGAGGCGATATACATGCATGTACACATACGTATTTATACATCCACTTTACATATACGTCACATATGCGTGTACATATTAACTGACTATCTGCGTTTTAAACTCGATGTGCGCAGTAACGCAGAATCACGGTTTTATACAGAAAATATAAAAATATCCTCTCCACCTTATTTTATGCCCATATATTGAAAACGCTGGAAAACGTCCAGGCCTCAATATACACGACGAGTTCATACTTACAAATGTCCATAAGAAAGCATTATTGAAGTAAATGAGAAATTTCGAAAAATATAAATATAATTATGATTCATAAGGACTTTGTAAAGTAATAAAAACAAAACACTTGAGACGGATACTCTGAGGTCAAAATTGCCTGTAGTCTCGTGTATGATGCGATACATAAACAACTAGACGAGTAACAGAACAAGAGGCCCAGAGGGCCTGTATCGCTCACCTGGAAATGTTAGCGAAATTAAAGTTGAAAGAGTCAGATGTTGCTGTACAAGTTACATGGTTAGTCAGGGTTTATATTTATATGCAACTGGACAAAATCCTGTCATTCCTACAGGAAAAGGCGGAGTTTGAAGAATTTGCTATGTTTCCACTGTTGGACCCAAGCCCTCTGCCCCTAGGAGGGGTCAGACCCACCGTTGATACAAAATTAGTTCCCCTTCACCCATGGATGCTTTAGACCAAATGTGGACATACTACTGTCATTCCTACAGAAGAAGAAGGATTTTAAAGTTTTTTTTCTATTTTCCCGATTTCGCCCCGCCCCTTTGTCCCAGGGGGTGAAAACCCCCAGTTTTCCTACAGGAAAAAGGCGGAATTTGAAGAATTTGCTATGTTTCCACTATTGGGCCCAAGCCCTCTGCCCCCAGGAGGGGTCAGACCCACAATTGATACAAATTGGTCCCCCTTCACCTAAGGATGCTTCGTCCCAAATTTGGATAAAATCCTGTCATTCCTTAAGAAGAAGAAGAATTTTAAAGAATTTGCTAAATTAACCCAATTGGGTCAAAACCCTCAAGCCACAGGAGGGTCAGACCCACCATTTATACAAAATTGATTTCCCTTCCCAATAGGATGCTACTTTTTAAATTTGGTCAAAATACCTTCATCCCAACGGAAGAAAAAATGATATTAAACCTATTCCTATATATCCCTTATTGGGCCCGCCTCTCTACCCCAAGAGGGGTCAGGCCCACCGTTCATACCAAATTTGGACAAAATCCTGTCATTCCTACAGCAGAAGTAGGATTTTGATGAATTTGCTATGTTTCCCCTATTGGACCCCACCCTTCTGCCCCCAGGGGGCCACACTCACTGCTTATACAAAATTGAGTCCCTTTTGCCCAAGGAAAATCCGGACTAAATAAGGATCAAATCCCTTTTTATCCCTACTGTAGAAGAAGGATTTTAAAGGTTTTACCTTTATTTCCCCTATTTGACCCCGCCCCTCTACCCCCAGGGGGCACACCCACTATTTATACAATATTGAGTCCCCTTGGCCTAAGGATGCTCCAAACCAAATTTAGTCAAAATGTACTTGGCCGTTCAGGACAAGTAGCGTTTTAAAGGAAAAGTCGACGGACGGACGACGAATATAAGCATAAATATAAGCTCACCATGGTCCTTCGGACCAGGTTAGCTTAAAAGCAAACGGTAGTCGTATTCACATTTATATGACTATGAATATCAAATGTAGAACATAATATTTTACGTCTATTCCTTCAAAATGTTATTAACTTGTTTACTATAATTCTGTACTGGTCTAAACTGCGCATATTTACAAGTATTTTTTAAAAAAAATATAACACACAGCTGCTACAAAGAGCACTAGGTAAGCGATTACTAGATATTGAATACATGTATGCATATACGGGCTAGCCATTTAACAGATACATCAGCCATAAATGATACAGGGAATATTTCATATCCCCGACATTCTACCTCAAAACGTATATATATATATCTCAACCATACGATCAAACGGAAGTAACATGCATAATTTAGTCAACTACATACATTATGTAATAATATGTATATTATTGTATCCAGAAACACATACATATACGTATAAACGTCCCCGATATATCTAACATGTATTTTAAACAATACATTTTCACAAAGAAATGTTATCGACACAAAGGAAAAATTGCTACAAATATTGAATTCAGATGTAACACTTATAATTATGACACATCATATTTCTTCCTATTGTGTATTGTATACAATTAGAATGATGTGGAAGTACTAACCTTGTTGCAATCACTGGCCTAGACAGTAGTTACGAATGTAAAATAAGCTATGTGTGATAGCTATGTAC